TGCTTTCCAGCAAAGATCAATCTTTGCTGATCAGGAGGAATTCCTTCCTTGTCCTGAATCTTGGTCTTGACATTGTCAATGGTGTCGGAAGGCTCGACATCCAAGGTGATTGTCTTTCCGGTCAATGTTTTTACGAAAATCTAGAGAAGAGAAAACGGGGCGATTGTGTCGTTAGTAAACGACATTTAGATGGTGCTACTACGAATAACCATCAATATGCGATAGGAAGCATGGGTTATCTGTCATCTCTGAAGCTTATCAGGCTACCTAATATTCGGTCAGACGAAAAATGCATCACAGCGCGTTGCGTTGAAATGACCGCAAATACGAACACTAAGGAACTGATTCCTCGGCAGAATGAACAGGCAACCCAAAGCTTAATGTCCGTAATTGTATCTAAAAGTCGTTGTCTTTTCCTTACCTGCATGTTAATGCTAAAGTCTGTTTGTTGATGATGTTGATCAAATTTGTTGTAATACAATTTCCGTTGCTTGTAGCGAAAACGTAAATGACAAAATGAATAATAACTGCTTTTTGAATTCGATAGAATTGCTCGTGCTTTCACTACGCACTAGGAGCACGATGAGCCGTCGTCAATCTGTCGCAGAACAAATTCCAGCGGAGACAGAAAGAGCAAAAACAAAATGCGTCGAGAATTCGAAAGAGGGAGAACAACGCTTCACAAGACTTGCGAACCGATCGCCGGCAGCGTCAGGAATAGGGAGGTTCGGGAATAGTATAAATTTGTTAAAGAATAAAAACTCCTCTTTTCAAAAAGCTACGTTAGAGTTACGTATCATTCGATAGTACAGTACGTACTTATTAGTGGCACCAAGATTTTGAAGTTGTCAACATCAACCACAAGGGAACCATACTATTTTTTTCATCCCGTCTGATAATTCGAAAAATCTTGATTCAGCAAATCGGTATCCAAGTTGATCCATCCATCATATTCCACGACAGGCTCTAACATTTTACATTGATGTTTGAAGATCAATTGAAATGAAATAAAAAAGATAAACGCATTTTTACCACAAATAACTTCTTCTTATTCCAGGAACAACTCGCAGGATTCTGTTCCTGATTACCAGACAAAAATTACAATGGTACGCGGTGTTGAGCGCATGCTTCGTGTCGCCATAACTTTTGCGGTAGCGATCATACCCGCTTTAGCTGGGAGCAGCTATCTCCCAAGTCAGCATTACACATGGTCTCCATTCGTCGGGCGTTCACATTCCAATTCACGATCGAGACGCTCCAAAATGTATTCTTCTCCCCACGACATATCCACAACATTTTTGGTGTCGAGAAATAAAAACGAGTCATCCCAAAACTTAAGTCGACGCGAGGAGCCAACGAAAATCACAGAGAATCCAGCGGGTGACATAGCTTCTGTGTCCTATGACGACTTGGGACCGATTGGCAAGACCATTGCTGGGTGCACAGAAATCGTAGTTTCGACCGTATTGGAATATTTTACTGGATATGTACAAGGATTTTTCTTTGGGACGCTCGTTGGTTCTCCCGGTTTTGTCTTTCGTCCCATGGAAAAAGGGGTGCGTCAACCATTCGCAGTAGAAATGTCACAACGATTTTCTCGAATGAATACCAGGTCTACATCTTGGGGGAAAAATTTTGCTGTCATATCAGCAGCCTTCGGAGGTGTGAGTGCTTATTTTACGTACTTCGTATTTTTGACTTTATCGAGCCTCTTTTTCAAATTCATCTCTTACAATCATCCTTCTTTGTAGTTTGGTGTTGCCGTACGAGTACTCCGAAATGGTGAAGAAGATGTATGGACTGACATCTTTTCAAGTGCAGCTGCCGGGGCCTTTTTTGGAAGAGGGAGTAAGATCCGAAATCGTCAACTGCTATATTTTTTTACATCCAAAATGGCGTAAGGAGTATCTAAAAACTGCGATTGTTCCTATTATTGATCTCATTTTGTCTTCTTTTTTCCCTCTTATCCCTTTCCACAAGGTGGTCCACAAGGCATGTTACGCGGGGCATTACTATACGGTGGCTTGATTTATGCTACATCTGGTGGATTGGGAAAGAAGCAGGATCTCCAGGAGTACACAGACAAGCCAGCCGTTGACTTCTAGAAATATTTGTTGGGTATCTATTCACAAATGACAAACAATTTGACCTTTTTATAACCCCTATTGTAGTTGAGATGTTTTCAAGAAGCGACCACATAAAAACAATTAATTCTAATACCACTTTAAAGAAATATAGTAAAAGAATAAACTGCAACACCACTCTTATTGAAAGATTACAGCTAAACAAAGATGATAGCACTATGGTGGTACAAAGATTTTCCATCTTCTGTAGGTGGGAAACCATCTAATCTATTATTTAGTAGCAACAACAGCTACTACAAGCAAGAATACTACTAGTAGAAGTGGTAGCAGTAATATTTTGTCATGTATTTTTGGTGCTAGTACTACTAGTACTGCTCTTCATCACCGTGTGAAGTGAATATTACTACTACCATTACTACTAGTAGTATGTTTACTATGCACTATTGAATATTGAGCTTTCTTGTTCTTCTAGGCTCACACAAACAGATGTTTGATTGAAGTTGGTGCTTCTTCTTCTAGTAATAGTACTATTACTGGCAGCAGTAAGAAATAGAAGTACTACTACTACTACTAGTACTACTACTACTAGTAGTACTACTACTAGTAGAAGAAGTAATGATATTCCTTGTTATCCTCCTTCTTCTTGTTGCTGCTTGAAGTACTAATGCTAGTAGTGTCATGCTGCTGCTATTATTTCCTTCTTTGTAATGGTAAGTACAACAACTACTACTACTAGTACTAGTAGTGGTTGTAGTTGTAGTTGTAGTTGTAGTTGTAGTTGTA